TGTGGTTTAACCCACAGCACCACCCGCGTCCCTTTTATTATGCAGTACAGTAGTTATGGATTTTTAATGTAAGCCACCTTGAGCATGGTTTGAAGTGTGGAAAGGCGGCATACAAATAAAATTATGCATGGATGCATGTATGTATGTTAACGTATTCCCCTGGATATTCACTGGGTTTTTATTTACTTATCACTAATATTTATATTACGGGACGTGGGTAGCGCTGTGGTCTAAACCACTGAGCCTAGGGCTTGCTGATCGGAAGGTCAGTGGTTTGAATCCCTGCGACGGGGTGAGCTCCCGTTACTCAGTCCCTGCTCCTGCCAACCTAGCAGTTCGAAACACGTCAAAGTGCAAGTAGATAAATAGGTACCGCTCCAGCGGTTTACCTTCCAGTGGGAAGGTAAATGGCGTTTCCATGCGCTGCTCTGGTTTCGCCAGAAGCGGCTTAGTCATGCTGACCACATGACCCGGAAAAACTGTCTGCGGACTAACGGCTCCCTCGGCCAGTAAAGCGAGATGAGCGCCACAACCCCAGAGTCGTTCGAGACTGGACGTAACTGTCAGGGTTCCCTTTACCTTTACTTTTTAACATTTATATTATAACCTTCACCCGGCGCAGGTTACATTAAAAAAACCTCCCAGCCAAGAATCAGTCCAGACATGGTCTTAATACCCAAACCTCTAAAACCAATTAGGTATACAGGTTATGCTTGTTTTAATCTGTTTTGACTACTGATTGTTAGCCGCCTTGGGTCTCTCTGGTGAAATGGGCAGGGTGAGAAAATGAAAAACAACTGCGCAATCCAAGCCCTGGTCAGGAGGGTGATGGGGCGGCAAAGTCGCAGTCCCATCTGGTTCCTCCCAGAGATTAAGGTGGAGAAGCAGGCAAAAGACTGCTCTGGGCTGTGCCAACTTGGAGCTGGCGTAGCAATTGGTCCCAATGCTTCAAGTCACGGAAGTGCAGGTGGCATGGAATGCAGGATGCTCCAGTTGGGTGCTTTCCATGGACTACTGCTGGCAGGCTTCTGCTCAGCTTCACTTTCTGCAGGCGGAACGGGTAGCTCCATGTTGGGAAAGACCCCTGCCCTGAATAAATCAATTCCACATTTCCAGAAGTCCCTTGACACCTCAGGGTACATCATTGTCAGGCATGGTGAACACAGGCAATTGGGGAGACCTGTTGACCATATTAGGGACAAGGGTGGCGCTGTGTTCTAAACCACTGAAGAAGAAGAAGAGTTTGGATTTGATACCCCGCTTTATCACTACCCGAAGGAGTCTCAAAGCGGCTCACAATCTCCTTTCCCTTCCTCCCCCACAACAAACACTCTGCGAGGTGAGTGGGGCTGACAGACTTCAAAGAAGGTCACCCAGCAGCTGCATGTGGAGGAGCGGGGAAGTGAACTCGGTTCCCCAGACTACAAGTCCACCACTCTTAACCACTACACCACACTGGCTCTCTGAGCCTCTTGGGCTTGCCGATCAGAAGGTCGGCGGTTCGAATCCCCACAACAGAGTGAGCTCCCGTCTTTCGGTCCCAGCTCCTGCCAACCTAGCAGTTTGAAAGCACGCCAGTGCAAGTAGATAAATAGGTACCGCTCTGGCGGGAAGGCAAACGGCGTTTCCGTGCACTGCTCTAGTTTCGATGTTCCATTGCACCAGAAGTGGCTTAGTCATGCTGGCCACATGACCCGGAAAAACTGTCTGCAGACAAACGCCGGCTCCCTTGGCCTGTAAAGCGAGATGAACACCAGAACCCAAGAGTTGTCTGCGACTGGACTTAACTGTCAGGGATCCTTTACCTTTTATTGACCATATCAAGATGCTTTGTCCTAGGACAGGAACGCCAGCAGCTGACCCATAATCTGGTTTTAGTCTCCAAAGCCATTTTATGCGGCCTTCGGTCATGAACCTATCATGTTTTAAACAAGATGTGACAAAGCATTTGTCAAAAGTTGCAGTGGTAAAAGGGGCTGGGGGAATCAAAGTTGTAATACAGAGAGAGAGTCACTCTTCTAGATTCCATTGCTTCCTGTAAAGGTAAAGGGACCCCTGACCATTAAGTCCAGTCATGCCCGACTCTGGGGTTGCGGCGCTCATCTCGCTTTATTGGCCGAGGGAGCCGGCGTACAGCTTCCGGGTCATGTGGCCAGCATGACTAAGCCGCTTCTGGCGAACCAGAGCAGCACACAGAAACACAGTTTACCTTCCCGCTGGAGCAGTACCTATTTATCTACTTGCACTTTGACGTGCTTTCGAACTGCTAGGTTGGCAGGAGCAGGGACTGAGCAACGGGAGCTCACAACGTCACGGGGATTTGAGCCGCCGACCTTCTGATCGGCAAGTCCTAGGCTCTGTGGTTTAACCCACAGCGCCACCCGCGTCCCTATTGCCTCCTGTAACATTCACAAAACAACAGGGGATTTAAAAATTAAGTACTTATATTTAGTGGTTTTCCGGGGGGGGGGGCTGATACTGAGAGGTCTTGACTGCTAACATGACACCAACTTTATTTATTGTGCAGCCCGACTGTAATAAAGGGGTTTCTTTTGCACGGTTTCGTCTGTCAGAATGCTGCTGGGTGAACAGAACTGTCACCAAGAGATTGGTAATATCTGTCCCAGGAGATTAAAGGGTTAAAGATTTGGGCACTGCCCCATATTCTGCTCCATCTAAAAACATGGTTGGAAAAGTCTCTTAGTAAGGTGGCCCACAAAGGGGAGAGATGTTGAGCAACTTTGTGGTGCATTGTATGTTTTGTTGTTCAGTCGTTTAGTCGTGTCCGACTCTTCATGACCCCATGGACCAGAGCACGCCAGGCACTTCCTGTCTTCCACTGCCTCCGGCAGTTTGGTCAAACTCATGCTGGTAGCTTTGAAAGCACTGTCCCACCATCTCGTCCTCTGTCGTCCCCTTCTCCTTGTGCCCTCCATCTTTCCCAACATCAGGGTCTTTTCCAGGGAGTCTTCTCTTCTCATGAGGTGGCCAAAGTATTGGAGCCTCAGCTTCAGGATCTGTCCTTCCAGTGAGCACTCAGGGCTGATTTCCTTCAGAATGGAGAGGTTTGATCTTCTTGCAGTCCATGGGACTCTCAAGAGTCTCCTCCAGCACCAGAATTCAAAAGCATCCATTCTTCGGCGATCAGCCTTCTTGATGGTCCATCTCTCACTTCCATACATCACTACTGGGAAAACCATAGCTTTTACTATACGGACCTTTGTTGGCAAGGTGATGTCTCTACTTTTTAAGATGGAACTAATTTGTGCAATTTCCGTACGTCTAACATACAATGCAAGGCAGTGATCCTGGATCACTGCCTTGCATTGTATGTTAGACGTACGGAAATTGCACAAATTAGTTCCTTCCTGGAAGGCCAAAGGCAGCAACTCTTCTGAATGCCAGTTTCTGGGAACCCAGGAATCTTTCCCCTGGTTCTCAGGTCCTATTTCCTGGTTTATCCACAGGCAATTGCTCTTCTTTTGTGGCTAACTCAGGCAAAACAGTCTGATTATGATTATATAGTAGACATTATTGTTTACCCAACGTCGGCCCATAGCGAAGTTAAGTCATGTATCGATACCTTGCTATTCTACCCATAAAGCATTCAACCCTCCGTCAAAACCACCACTTTGCCTGAGTGGTTCGACTGTCCAACAAGCAAGCAAGTTTACAAGCACTGGCAAATATTAAATAGATGTTTTTGGTAGGTTTAAAACCCCAAGTGCCAAGTTCCTTCTAGGAACAGGAACATTAAACAGCTATTATTGCCAGGCTACACCGCTTTTTTAAAAAAAGCAGTTTTTGTTCAAGATTTCCTTGTGTTACAAAATAAACAAATAGGCTACATCAGTTCTGTCTGCAAGTGTGTCTGTGGAGGGGCAAATAGCCGAATGCTCTCTGTTAAGTTGTGGGTGAACATATCAGACGACACAGCAATTCTTCAAACAGGCCAGAACAGAACTGAACTGAAGGGTTCAGCCAGCCTGCTTATATAGAGTTCCACTAGAACGCAACAGTAACAACTTTCTGTAACTATCCAATCACTGAACACCACTTTCAATCCCCTTATTTGCATATGTGGACCTGAGTGAAAACTATCTACAGTATCCCCCTGCTGTCCCAGGGTGAGAACTTCAGTACATAACACTCTCCCAGGTAGAAAGTGTGCCACCCAGATATGCCCCCCTCCTACAAATATTTCACTTGGTGATATTAAACAGGGGGCAACAGGAAGAGCTCAACTCTCCCCCTAGCCGCAGACCCAGAATCCTGAGCCCAGTGAACAGCTTCTTCGGTATAAAAAATTATAATAATAATTTTTTATTTATACCCCGCCCATCTGGCTGGGTTTCCCCAGCCACTCTGGGCGGCTTCCAACCGAATCTTAAAAACAATACAGCATCAGACATTTAAAAGTTCCCTAAACAGGGCTGCCTTCAGTTGTCTTTTAAAAGTAAAATACAGTGGTACCTCTGGATGCGAACGGGATCCGTTCCGGAGCCCTGTTCGCATCCTGAAACAAATGCAACCCGCGTCCGCGGGTCGAGATACGCCACTTCTGCGCATGCCCATGACGTCATTTTGAGTGTTTGCGTGAGCGGCGAAACCCAGAAGTAACGAACTCTGTTACTTCTGGGTCGCCGCAGAGCGTAACCTGAAAACGCTCAACTTGAAGCACATTTAACCTGAGGTATGACTGTAGTTGTTTATTGCCCTGACATCTGCTGGGAGGGTGTTCCACAGGGCAGGGGCCACTACCAAGAAGGCCCTCTGCCTGGTTTCCTGTAACCTCACTTCTCGCAGCGAGGGAACCACCAGAAGGCCCTCGGCGCTGGACCTCAGTGTCCGGGTAGAACGATGGGGGTGGAGATGCTCCTTCAGGTATACTGGACCGAGGCTGTTTAGGGCTTTAAAGGTCAGCACCAACACTTTGAATTGTGATCGGAAACGTACTGGGAGCCAATAAAATGGCAAAATACCACTTTGCTCTTTCGTTGACAGCTCCTTGCAATGATGAAGCACGCGGACCTGCATTTTCTAATTGGAATTATTATTTCTCCTGCGGTAAGTATTCCCCAGTGCTTCAGTCCTCAGCATCTCTGGTTAGGGCTTGGAGAGATGCTGTCCAGTCAGAACCCGGGAGAGCTGCTATTAGTCAGTGTAGACAATACCTGAGCTATGTGGCAGCTTCCTCTGCGATTCCTATATGTCCTAATGATCAAGCAAGGGGAAGCGGGTGGCACTGTGGTCTAAACTTAAGGTAGGCAAACTAAGGCCCGGGGGCAGGATCTGGACCAATCGCCTTCTAAATCCAGCCCACGGACAGTCAGCGTATTTTTACATGAGTAGAATGTGTCCTTTTATTTAAAAGGGTGTTTTTTTGTGGGGCATAGGAATGCATTCATTTTTTTCCTTTCCAAAATATAGTCCGGCCCCCACAAGGTCTGAGGGACAATGGACCGGCCTCCCCTGGTAAACCATTGAGCCTCTTATGCTTGTCGATCGGAAGGTTGGTTGTTCGAATCCCCGCGACGGGGTGAGCTCCTGTTGCTGTCCCTGCTCCTGCCAACCCAGCAGTTCGAAAGCACACCAGTGCAAGTAGATAAATAGGTACCGCTGCGGCGGAAAGGCAAACGGCGTTTCCATGTGCTCTGGTTTCCGTCACGGTGTTCCGTTGCGCCAGAAGCAGTTTAGTCCTGCTGGCCACATGACCCGGAAAGCTGTCTGTGGACAAACCTTGGTTCCCTCGGCCTGAAAGCGAGATGAGCGCCGCAACCCCATAGTCGCCTTTGACAGGACTTAACCATCCAGGGGTCCTTTACTTTTACCTTTACCGATTCAAAGCCTGTAGTATGCTTACTTGCAAGTAGGACTCTGAGATGGGTGATTGGACGTTATGCCAGTTGGTGCTGAAACTTTTTCTCTGAGCCACACTATCAGAATAAAAATTTGCTCTCGCCACATTGATTTTTTTAATCCACCTGTCAATAAACCTCACTCATTCTTTTATTGTCCTATTGAAAACAGGACAGCATCTTCCTGAGGGCAGCAGACTGATTTAGGGGGTGTAGGGCAGGCTGCAAGGTACATGTGCCCACCTCCTCCAGCATTTACTGACTGTGGGTTCTGCTTCACACTGCCTAATGGTAGGGCCGGTGTTGGTAGGAAATCGTTAAAAGTCCTTAACAGGAACAGCAGGCTACGCTGTTATTAATTAGATGATTAATAAGATTATTAATAAGATGATAATGTATACAGTCACACCTCGGATCTCAAACGCCTTGGCTCCTGAACAAATTGGCTCCCGAATGATCGAAACCTGGATATCAGTGTTCCAGTTTTCGAACGATTTTCAGAAGCCGAACGTCTGACGGGCCTTCCGCGGCCAATCAGAAGCTTGTTTGGGTTTCCGAACATTTTGGAAGTTTAACAGGCTTCTGGAACGGATTCTGTTTGACTTTCAAAGTACGACTGTATCTGCAAAGAAAGGGGTCTTCCTTTCGAAACGAAAAATTAGCTACAGGTTTTTTGTTTTTGCTTACTGAACTTCTCTGAAAAAGGGTAGATCCAGATTAAATGGATTAAAAGACGCGTCAAAGAGCCTTATCTCCTTACATTTAATTGGTAAAAAAAAAATGGCTCAGCCATCTCTTTCCAGGTGCATAAGATATTCCAAAATCCCTTGGGCAGGATGAATGCCCCTAATCAGAGCTTTTTTCCAGCTGGAACTCTATTCTGGCCCCTCTTTTTTCTAGAAAAATAGCACTGTCCCTAATGATCACCACATATTGACATCTTGCATATATTCTGTTTCTATTTCTTGGGCAGATTGTGGCAACCTATCCCGTTTCAAACCACGGGGTTCACTATGCAAAACTGGTAAGTGCAAAGTTCAGCAGCAGCTGCTGTTGTGTTAAAATTAATACGCACTTTAATTAGAATTGAAATTTTAATTAAAATTAATCGATCGAGCAATTAAATACATTAAAATTAAATTTTAATTCACAATTAAATTAACTTTTAATTAACATTATTGAATATGCACTTTAACTCCCTTAACGAAACGTGGAGGTCAACATCGAAAGAGATGTTGTGAAACATGTTTCAAGTATAGTTACACTTCATCAAGGGAAATAGCGCCTCTTATAATATCCTAATTATGCACAAGATAAACTGCATAGCAAAGATTTTATCTTTCTTTGATCCATTCAAGCTTTTTCCGCCTCCCATACTGGCCAGACTATTGTCCATAGCTGTCAACTTACAGATTTGAAAATAAGGGACCAGCAGCCTCAAAAATAAGGGATCAGCAGCCAAAATAAGGGGTTTTCCGGAAACAGTTATGTTCAAATTCTGAGCCCCTCCGAGCCAAAGGCAGAAAGCCCAGCCAGCAGCCAAACGAAGCCTCAAGCAGTGGTTCCCACAGCGCAGCAACCCGGCAAAGGGGATGCAGCAAGGAAAACCACCATCACCTCTCCGCTGGGAAGCGCTGAGCAAAGGCGAGTCCCCAGGCAATGCGGCCGATTTGATCGGCACAAGGCATGCAAGCTCCACCCCCAGTCGTTCTTAGACTCCTTATTTTTATCTTGCATTTTTCTGCTGCGAACTGCCCTGATGTCTTCTGATGAAGGGCGGGAATGCAAATTTAAGAAATGAATAAAAGCTAAATATATAGATTTTTTTATGTCAGCAGCCTAGGGCCCTCAAAAGACCTCCGTTTAAACATGTACATATGAAAATAACCTTCCCTTCCCTTGTCCTTCAACAGGTCTCAAGAGTCAACAGCTACAAACCTTTCCCGCAGCAGGTATAATGAATCTCTTACACCAATCGCTGCTAGTTTGGAATGAAAGCAAATTGGAATTTTGCAATGTAATCCGAGATACTGCTCAGATCATACCTACAGAACCGTTTTACCAATAAGCCTGCCCGTCTCTTCCACCAGTTACTGTTTTATGTTTGGGTTTTAACTGTTTTGGTTATATCTTGTACCTCCTTCACCCTGAGAGAGGTGTGTGTGTGGAAACGATGAAAAATACATAAAATAATAAATCACACACAAAAATACAAGCGGCGGTGGAGAAATAAAGCATCATTTTGGTCTGTTTAGGAAGTGGTGGGTGCAAATACCCCCTTGGGGTGCAGACACCGAAAATGGAGGCAGTATTAGCAGGACAGAAAAAGGGAAATAAGGTTGACCAGTATTTTATGTTTCCCTTTTCTTCTGCTTTCCTACAGGTGATGCTGCCGCAACAGCTTTGCGTAAGTGTTTGCTAATCTCCAAACTCCCCCCAGAAAAGCTTTCCTAAAAATTAAAAGTCTGCTGCTATCTTAGAGTTGAAGCCAATGTTCATTAAATACCCGTATTTTTCGCTCTATAAGACGCACCAGACCACAAGACGCACCTAGTTTTTGGAGGAGGAAAACAAGAAAAAAAATATTCTGAATCTCAGAAGCCAGAACAGCAAGAGGGATTCGCTGTGCAGTGAAAGCAGCAATCCCTCTTGCTGTTCTGGCTTCTGGGATAGCTGCGCAGCCTGCATTCGCTCCATAAGACGCATACACATTTCCCCTTACTTTTTAGGAGGGAAAAAGTCAGTCTTATAGAGCAAAAAATACAGTATATACTGTTCACCTGCTTGGGGCAGCAATCTGCATAGCTGTAAACCTTTCCTTTTTTTGCAGGAAATTCCCTGATTCCAGCGCCATTTCCCACTGCTGTCCCAGATTGTTAGATATCCCGTAGACCAGTGTTTTTCAACCACTGTTCCGCGGCACACTAGTGTGCTACGAGATGTTGCCTGGTGTGCCGTGGGGAAAATTGAAAAATTCGAAAGATTAAAAAAATATGTCAAATTTTCGCCCACTAGGCGGGCACCGGACTGTGTCCACCCTATTTTCCATCTGTCCTGGGTGGGGATCAGATCGGATGAGAGCGGACAGGTGGTCCGCTCTCATCCGATTCCCCATAGAGAGCAGCAGGGCTCTGACATCTCCCTCTCCGCACACAGTGCTGAGACGGAGCTGTCATCCGCCGGCTCAGCGGGGATCAGCGGAGTGATCCCCGCTGAGCAGAGAACGGTCCGCAACGTTTTTGTTTGCCATTAAAGAAAAAAATATTAAACATTTTCTAATGGTGGTGTGCCTCGTGATTTTTTTCATGAAACAAGTGTGCCTTTGCCCAAAAAAGGTTGAAAAACACTGCCGTAGACTGTCCCTGGGACAGGTGTGGCTGTTGATCGCTTATTTTCGAGGCTGCTGATCCCTTATTTCCAAATCTGAAAGTTGACAGCTATGGCAATCTGAGAGCACTGATGTTTCTTTCCAAAACTCACAAGAGGGAAAATGAGGTCTAGTACCTTGTTTTGCAGATTTTAGATGTCATGCCAGATCCATCTGGAGAAAGCGGCATGAATCCTGACTTTTCTGTTCCTCTGTCTCTCCCCTACAGAGTGGAGCTCGCCTGCCTTTTGCAGACAGCAGTGACAGCAGCGGTGGCCTAGGCTACCGGGCAAGTCGCTGCACGTTCCCGAGACTGGTAATTTACCTATAAACTTGTTTTTGTCTCGCCCAGGGATGGGCAACTCAAGGGCTTAATGCAGCACATTGCTCTTTGGCCTACTTTAAAAAGGGGTCATGCGTTGAGCAGGATCTGTCCCTCCCTTGCTAGCCTCCTGGGTGAGGAGGAAGACGAAATTAGAAAGAGAGAAGGGGAGTGTCAGAAAGTGAGAAAATTTGTAAACCAAGAAAATCTTTAATAATAATAAAAAAGGGGGGAGTGAGAAAATAATGTCCCTGCCACCAGAACAGCCCCCTGTAGAGGCAGCATTCAACTAAGTTTTACTCAAAGTAGACCCACTGAGGGACGCGGGTGGCACTGTGGGTTAAACCACAGAGCCTAGGACTTGCTGATCAGAAGGTCAGCGGTTCGAATCCCCATGACGGGGTGAGCTCCCGTTGCTCGGTCCCTGCTCCTGCCAACCTAGCAGTTCGAAAGCATGTAAAAGTCCAGTAGATAAATAGGTACCGCTCTGGCGGGAAGGTAAACGGCGTTTCCGTGTGCTGCTCTGGTTTATCTACTTATCTACTTGCACTTCGTGCTTTCGAACTGCTAGGTTGGCAGGAGCAGGGACCGAGCAACGGGAGCTCACCCCGTTGCAGGGATTCGAACCGCCGACCTTATGATTGGCAAGTCCCAGGCTCTGTACTTTAACCCACAGCACCAGGTACGAGGTACTTAAAAAGTATTTCAGACAAGGCAGATAAGCATGGTGAGGGCTGTTTTCCTACATCTGTAATGTCTACAGCTTCTCAGTGTTCTGCTGCATCCAGCAATTGCTGATGACATTTGCCTAACCACACAGTGTTATTTAGAACAGTATTGAAGGCAGTGCTGGAGCGAGAAATACAGTGGTATCGCTACTTACGAATGCGTTGCTACCACGTGTGCGCAAAGTGCGCAGATCGCTTCTGCGCATGCGGCGAACCTGGAAGTAAACCATTCCAGGTTTGCCGCATTCGTAACCTGAAAAGCCGCAACGTGAAGCAAACGTAACACGGTATGGCTGTACAGTGGTACCTCAGGTTAAGTATTTAATTGGTACCGGAGGTCTGTTCTTAACCTGAAACTGTTCTTAACCTGAAGCACCACTTTAGCTACTGGGGCCTCCTGCTGCTGCCGTGCCGCCAGAGCCCGATTTCTGTTCTTATCCTGAAGCAAAGTTCTTAACCTGAAGCACTATTTCTGGGTTAGCGGAGTGTGTAACCTGAAGCATATGTAACCTGAAGCGTATGTAACCTGAGGTACCACTGTACTGCATTTTCCCAGCTCTTAAAATTGTAGCGTATTCTCAGAAACACAGTGCCACCTTGTGGGAAGTTAGGTTGAATACAGCGCACTACAAATGTGCTGAAAAGCTCTTGAGGTGACAATACTCAGCGACGAATTCTTTCAAACTGCAGCGATGCTTTGGAGCAGATCCTTATCCTTTGCTCCTAGCTGCAAGAGTGGCCTGGATCCGTACACCTGAGAAGTGTGTTATATACTCGGGGTATGCAAGCTGGGATAGCTAGATTCTATCTGTATTCCAGAATACCTTAGCAGAACAGGCAGAGAGCATTTTCGTCCCAACAGCCCCAAATCCCAGTGTATGAGAAGGGTAGACAAAGAGCTGCAGGATTAAAGGAAACTTAATAATCAGGGAGGTTGTTAAATGTCTTACTTAAGAGGCCATTTTATTTCTGGTGTGTTTACTGCCGTGAAGAATTAAAGATATATATTAAAGATGGCTTTTCCCTCCTTCAATGAGCAACGATTTTAAGTCGTATACAGTGGTACCTCGGGTTACATACGCTTCAGGTTACAGACTCCGCTAACCCAGAAATATTACCTCGGGTTAAGAACTTTGCTTCAGGATGAGAACAGAAATCGTGCTCCAGCGGCAGCAGGAGGCCCCATTAGCTAAAGTGGTGCTTCAGGTTAAGAACAGTTTCAGGTTAAGAACGGACCTCCGGAACGAATTAAGTACTTAACCTGAGGTACCACTGTATTACAATATTTGGCAATTCTATTTGTAAGGCAGATCAACATTACCACCCCTGTTGCAAATGGAGCCTAAGGCTGAGAGATGAGTAGCTTGCCCAAGTCCATCTAAGGGAGTTCATGGCAGAGGCAACACTTGTGCTGAAGACTTTTCAATTTCACACCTCCATTTCCTCAGCTCATTTGCTTTCAACAAGCATCTGTACTGAGGTTGCATCGTGGAATCATAGAATTGTAGAGTTTGGGGGGACCCTGAAGATCATCACCTCTCCCGGTATGCCCCACGGAGAGCCTCAAGGTCCATAAATAGCAACCCCCTAGAGCTCCCAGGCCCTAAGGAAGCTAGATTAGCTTCAACCAGAGCCAGGGCCTTTTCAACACTGGCCCCGGCCTGGTGGAACGCTCTGCCTCATGAGACCGGGGCCCTGAGGGATCTGATTTCTTTCCGCAGGGCCTGTAAGACAGAGTTGTTCCGCCTGGCCTTTGGCTTGGAGCCAATTTGATTCCCTCCCTCCCCTCTTTCATTTTTCTTTGCCTTTCTCCTCCTGCGATGAGGCTACATTTTAATATTTTAATGTTTCAATATTTTAATGTTGTTTTTAAGCTGTATTCATTCAACTTGTTTTTATTATTGCTTGTTAGCCGCCCTGAGCCCGGCCTTGGCTGGGGAGGGCGGGGTATAAATAAAAATTATTATTATTATTATTATTATTATTAATTATCTAGTCCAACCCCTGCAATAAAGGAATATGTAACTGTCCCCTATGAGGCTTGAACCTGCAACCTTGGGTGTTATCAGCACCATGCTGTTGCCAACTGGTAATATGCAAACTCTTGATGAGCCAGTTGGTTTGAGTAAGTTGGCTTCTATTGGTTGACACCTCTCACCATAAAAGGTTCAGTCCAGCGTGTTCACAGTTCCTGCATTTTCTTCACAGCCCAGCCAACGGCTCCACACAATGGCAAAAATCCCCAGGAGGCAAACAGACATGTTGGCAATGAAGGCTCCAAGCGTTCCAGCATCCAGCACGATCAAGCCGGGTGTAAGAGTAGACCTCCTTGGAGCCACATCGCCATTTACTTTCCTGAAGATCCACTCTCCAAGCTACTTGCCCCGGCCTAGTAGCATCCCTGCTGCATTCCCTCACGCCAAGCCCTTGGGACCCGATTCAGAGACCCGAGGAAGGGACTACCCAGCGATTACGACGAGTGAGTCTCCTCTAGACAGCCTAGCTACAACACCTCCCACCTCTCATACCACGAAAGA